TGTTGAGACCCATGTAGTCAACACACATCCTCCATTTCCCACTCTTCTTTCATACAAGAATAGGATTGGCTAACCACTCTGGGTGGTATACTTCCTTGATGAATCTGGCCACCAAAAACTTTGTGATTTCCTCGTCGATGGTCCTGCATTTCCCCTCGTCGAAGCGACGCAGGCATTGTTTCACCGGCTTGGAGCCTAGGCAGATCTTCAAGGCGTGCTCGGTGACTTCCCTCAGAATGTCTGGCATGTCCGAGGGTTTCCACGCGAAGATATCTCTGTTGGCGCGGAGGAAGCTGACGAGCGCGCTTTCCTATTCGGAGGAAAGCATGGTACCAATGCGCATCGTTTTTCCCTCGGTGTTCCTGGGATCTATGAGGACTTCCTTAGAGCCTTCCGCTGGCTTGAAGGACCCGGTCGACCACTTGGGGTCGGGTGCTTCTTCGGCGACCTCCTTCCTGAGAGCCACGAGATCTGCAGAGGTGACGATTGCTGAGGCGTGATCGCAGCACTCAACCTCGCACTCGTAGGAGCGCTAAAAGGAGGTGCCGACGGTGATGATCCCGCCTGGGCCTAACATCTTTCATATGAGGTAGGTGTAGTTGGGGACGGCCATGAACTTCGCGTAGCATGGTCGCCCCAGGATGGCGTGGTAGGTTCCGTGGAACCCAAGCACTTCAAAGGTGAGGGTGTCCATCCTATAGTTGGATGGACCCTTGAAGGTGACGGGCAGATCGAGCTGCCCAAGTGGCAAGGCCTGCTTTCTAGGCATGACACCGTGGAAAGGCGCTCCGGTCGGCCGGACGCACGCTCGGTCGATGCCCATGGTGTCGAGCGTCTCGGCGTACAGGATGTTGAGGCCATTGCCCCCATCCATTAGTACCTTGGTGAGGCGCTTCGTACCGACGATCAGGTTGACCACAAGCGGATATCCCCCTGATTGCGGGACGCTCTTCGGGTGGTTGGTCCAGTCAAAGGTTATGGCGGATTCTGACCATCGGAGGAAGGCAGGTGTGGCCGGTTCGGTCGCATAGACCTCGCAGCGTGCGATCTTCTGGCGGCGCTTGGAGTCATAGGCCTCTGATCCTCCGAAGATCATGAGGAAGCCATCCGATGTTGGAAAGCCGTCATCCTTCTCCTCGGCATCATCCACGGTGGGGTCAGGGTCCTTTTTGTGCTCCCCTTTGTTGGAGCCTCCGAACAAGAACCGCCGCATGAGGCTGTAGTCCTTGTACAGATGCTTGACTGGGAAAGCATGGTTTGGGCATGGCCCCTCGAGTATTTTTTCAAAATGGTTCAGAGTGCCCTCCGCAAGCTTCCGACCACCCCTCCGGTCAGCGGCGGCCACGAGCGAGCCCTCATGCCATTGCTTCTTGTTCTTCTTTTTGGCAGGGCAATTGGAGGTGCCTTCGTCAGCGTCCTCGTCTCACCTCACCTTGCCATTGAGGTGATCAAAGATGGCTCCGACCGCTTCTTCGCTCGAGGCGTGGCTACTGGCGATGTTCAGGAGTTCCTTGGTGGTTCACGGGCCCTTACATCCTAGCTTGTGAACCCGAGACTCGCAGGTGGTCCCGGATAGGAAAGCTCCTATAACGTCGGCGTCGACGACGTTAGGGAGCTCGTTGCATTGCCGGGAGAAGCACCGGATGTACCCATGGAGGGTTTCTCTGGCCTTTTGCCGACAATTTTTGAGGTCCCATGGGTTTCCATGGTGCTTGTATGTGCCCTAGAAGTTTCCCACGAAGATCTCCTTCAGGTCCACCCAACTTTGGATTCTGTTGGACGGAAGGTGTTCCAACCAGGTTCTTACCGAATCGGCCAAGAACATTGGAATGTTGCGGATAATGAAGTCGTCATTATCCACACCACCGGCTTGGCAGGCCAGCCGATAGTCTTTGAGCCATAGTCCGGGGTTTGTTTCCCCAGAGTACTTTGGGATATTGGTTGGTGGTCGGTACCTTGGCGGAAAGGCAGCGTTGAGGGTGTGTTGGCCGAAGGCCTGAGGCCCCGGTAGGCTAGGGCTCGAGCTTTGGTCCTCGCCACTGTCATAGCGTCCGCCACGACGAGGGTGATAGCGTCTAGCTCCCTCTCTCGGGTCATCGTAGACGCATTTGCGGGCGTCAAGGGTGTTGCGCGTGTCACGGTTGCGGCCGAGACGCTGACACACCAGGACCACGATGTGCTGCCTGCTTCCTTGTGGTTCCTGGTGGACCGACGCATCCCTTCTGGGATGCTCTGAAGGCATGCGCTGGCTAGCATCGAGCTCACGTCACTGAGACAATGAGCTTTTGACCTGCTGCGCTGGCGCATGCTTGAGCAGCATGCAAATCTCATGGTGGGCCCGATGATCCTTGGGTGTCGCGGCCTCTGGAAGGCCATGCAGCAAGGCCGCGGTGGCGGTGATGTTCTGGCTTGCCCGAGCGAAGCGAGGGAGGGCTTCATCGTCGGCAATGATCCTCCGATTCACGTCATGGGCCATGGCGCGGGCGCGCCCACTGTCTCTGGGGCGCTCGATCTCCTGATCGAGCTCCGTGCATTCCCGCTCGAGCTGGAGTCATGCTTCCTCGATCTCTCGGTGTTGGGCTTTTAGCTGCTCCATCGGCATGCGTGGTGGGGCCGCTGTCTCGCTCTCGGCCTCGTCGTCGAGGTCATTTATTGGGGTAGCTCCCCCTCATGGACGCTTTCGATGTACCCCTCGAGGGTACCCATCATGAAGCATTCACGAGAGGGGTGATGGCTTCCCCTGCTGGAGTCAGAGCCAGAGGGCGACTCTGGCTCCTCTGCCAGGAGGTCGTGGAAAGATTCCATGACGTGTTCGATCAACCCCATGAATTCGTCGTTCGTGGGTGGTGGGACCATGCGTTGTGCCAGAAGGTGGCTAACGGTCGCCGCGGCGTTGCGGAGACCGAACGGAAGCACTGTCGGGACGCTCCGTACGAGGTGTTTTGGAGAGAGGGGTTCCCCTCCGGTGAGCCGTGCCATGATGTTGGCATCAGAGAAGGCGAGGCGGCGTGGGTCCTCCCTGGACGACTGGGGTCCTAGGGAGACGCCGAGCTGGCGCTCAAGACTCCCGTAGTCGAGGTCGGTGGAGGGGAGAGGTTGGATGGCGGCGTGAGCCAATGCCAACTCTCCTCCCACCGTGATGATGAAGTCTAGGTCCCCAAAGCGCATGTGTGCGCCTGAGACCCAGCTGATACCGTGGCTAGCCATCCGTGGTCTAATGTTAATGTCCGAATACGCAAATGTCCCCTACCTGACATGCCAACTGTCGGTGTTTCGAGTAAACACCAACGAGTAAATTTATTTATTGCGTGTCCAGCCCAGATGTTGTGCTAAAAAAGACACAAGGTTTATACTGGTTCGGGCAGAATGTCCCTACATCCAGTTGGTGGCTGTTGCTCATGTTATTAGCACTGAAAAGTTTATAGTAGGGGTTACAAACGGGTGAGAGATGGACAGGTCCTAAGTCTCTGATGGAATGGTCGAATGGGCGCTAAGAGCTTGGTTGCTGCTCAGCTATGTGTATGTGATGTGTGGTGTCTTCAATCGATCGGTCCCCTTAGTGGGGTGCCCTGCCTTCCCTTTTATAGTCCAAGGGGAAGCAGAGATTACAGATGGGAGAAAGAAGAAAAAACAGATGCCAAGGAGGTCCTTCAAAGATGTCGAGTCTTCCTTTTCCTCCGAACGAGCCCCCGCAGATACGGCAGACGGTGCCAGGGATAGCTCCATGCAGGGTGCATGTCCGCTGATGATGCCATGTTCTGAGCTTGTCAGCAAGTGGTCACGTCCCATTCCGCCCCGGCGGGCGACGCGACGGACCAGGGTGCCGCTCCGCGACCCTACGGAGAGCAGACGACGCAGTGACCGCACGTCCGTTACTGTAAATGATGCGAGCCTCCTCTTGGACCATAGTGGTTGTCGTATCCTTTCGTCAGGATCCACGCCCGAGGGCAAATAGCGGCGCCCACAACACTGTAAGACAAATGTTGGCGCCTACAACACTGTTTGGGCTCTGACATGCCTGGAAGGGCTTAAAGCGCCCGTCTTGTCATATCCTGACGGTACTTTCCTACAGGCATGCAAGGTATGGTCCTCGGTATTGCAGTTGACTTGAGCGTCCTGCCTCATCTGTGCGTGTAGTTATGATGGAGCAACGCGCGGACGTCGGGCGAGGCGGAGCTAGCCCCCGGACGTCGGCCGAGGCGGAGTCTGCACTCAGACGTCGAGCGAGGCGGAGCCAGCCCCCGGACGTTGGGCGAGGCGGAGTCTGTCCTTAGACGTCGAGCGAGGCGGAGCCAGCCCCCGGACGTCGGGCGAGGCCGAGCCAGCCCCTAGGGGTCGGGCGAGACGGAGCCAGCCCTTAGACGTCAGGCGAGGCGGAGCCAGCCTCCGGGGGTCGGGCGAGACGGAGCCAGCCCTTAGACGTCGGGCGAGGCGGAGCCAGCCCTCGGGAGTCAGCTTGAGGCGGGGCACATGGTCTCGGTGGACGGGCGAGGAGTGACCTGGCAAGCGGTGTAGTCACGCTCTTGATTGCGCGGATGAATCAACGTTGACGGTCATTAGCTGCTCCTCTTCGGGTACCCTAATATTGGTCCCCGACAGTTTCCAACTTTCCTAAGCTTACTAAAATTCCGCAAAACCTCGCAAAACCATTAGCAGTTGTGATTATCTTTTGAGCATATTTCATATATTTTCACAATCAATTGATTTGATGGTTGTAATCACGCGTGAATTGAAAGTAAACTGTTGTTCGCTTCTCTTATAATCCGTCTTTTTTAGCTTATTTTTTAACCGAACAATGTTTTTCTCTCACAACAAATCAGCCAGAACAGTGTTGGCTTGTTTTTTCAGCGGAGCGAACGGGGCCTACCTCGTTGGCGACCTAATTGAAAGCTATATCGGCTTGTATTATATATATGTTGCCAAGTGAAGACTTGCTTCTCTGAATGTTCTTTTTTCTGTCGCCGCTTGGTTACTAATTTTGATATATCTTGTACATGAAGGTATCCACTGGTGAGGTGGACAAGGCAATAACAAACGCCTTGATGGAGCTGGAGGGGAACGATCCAAGAAGCAGCAGCAGCAAGCCAAGCTTCAGCTGTCAAGTCGAAATAAGTGGCCAGATGGGTTGACGCTGGCTCTATTCGCGTGTCCTTAAATTCAGCTTGATTCGTTTCTTTTTTCATCCAAAATAATGTTTTTCTCTCACAAATTTTTTCAGAATTACTCTAAACCATTCAAATTCCTTTAGAACCGTATCATCCGAACAGAGCCAGCTGTTGGTTGTCGATCAAATCGAGCAGCAGCTAAGAGATGGTTTTTTCTTACGCATGGCATCTGCCAAAGCATAATAAGGTAGACCAGTCACCAGTGCATCCAGCAGTATGCTAAATTATACTACTGCAAAAACTTCCAGTTTAGTCATTCAGTACCCGATCGACTTTAGCAAAATTAGGGCACGTTTGGTTCCCAAAATTTTTTAGGTTTGGCTATTGTTCGGCTACTGTAGCACTTTTGTTTGTATTTGGTAATTAGTATCTAATTACGGACTAATTATGTTTGAAAGTTTCGTCTCGCGATTTCTCACCTAACTATGCAATTAGTTTTTTTTCGTCTACATTTAGTACTCAATGCATGTACCGCAAGATTCGATGTGACACTTTGGGATGAAATTTTTTGAAACTAAACAGGCCCTTAACGTATTCATGTTTCCGACACATGTATTGCCTGCAATGTTAGTGTCTGAACTCCGTACAATGGTTCGTTTAAGCCGCATGTAATATTTGCCGTTCCCCTGAACCAAAAGTATTATACTCCCTCCGTTCTAAATTATCTATCGTTTTTTGTTTTCGTGCCTAAATTTAACTCGATTTATAAAAAATACGTGCGATATTTGTATCTCTAAATAAATTTATTAAAAAACTAGATTCAAAGATCTTTCCAATGATACCAATTATGTACCATAAATATTAATATTTTTTAATATATATTTTGTCAAAGTTATTTCTCGAGAAGCGAAAACGACAGATATTTTGGGACGAAGGGGCCCTGTTTGGTTAAGCTGTAGCCGTGTGTTATGGAAAAGCAGCTGTGAAAAAAGCATAAGACCATTTAGTTAGAGCAGCTGTGAAACTTTAGGCCGTGGAAAAAATACATGTAATACCCCTTAAGGCCTAGAAGACTGTTTATACGCATATCGCTCTAAAAAACTAATATGTATACTTATTAAATGTGAATGAATATTTTATAAAAGAAAATTAAAATATTTAAGTTTTTCATCCATCTTCAGCCTGTTCGCTTGGTCGTATTTGGCTTATAAGCCATGGCTTATCAGTCAGTGAACAGTATTTTTCTCTTACCCAAAATCAATCAATAGTACTTTCAGCCATGGCTTATAAGCCAAACAAGCCCAAATGAATAGGGCGCTTGTCGGCGGGGAGTGCATGGTGAAGGGGTAGCTTGCTAGGTGATCATGGCCACACATCCAGAGATGGATAGTTCACGCTTATTGACTGTATAGGATAGGTATAAGTGTATTTAATGTGTATTTCCTCTTTTATTTTTCTATAGAAAAACGGCCAGATGACATGGGTGTGGCCTTGCTCGTCCATTACAGATATTTTGGGGCGGCCATCCTCTGCTTGCCTGTTTGCTGGAGTTGACCGTGGATCTCGCGCTCGCACGCTCGCCGGCTTCCTCTATTGCTGCTCGCGTCCGAGAGGAAGAGGGGTTCGCCAGATGTGTGGAGGCCGACCGCCGGAGGTCTCGCTCGCCGGATGTTGGGACTTGGGAGGCCGCGGCGCCGGATGTGGGGAGGCCACCGAAGGTCGGAGTGGGGATGGGGGCTCGCCGGAGTGGGGAGAGGGGCCGCGCCGCTGGGGCCGGTGACGCTCGCCCGCCGCCGGAGCCGGTGAGGACGGAGGTGGCGCCGCGATCGGAGCCGGTGCTACTCGTCGCCGCGCGGTGGGCAGGGAGATGTGAACATAAGCAAGAAAGGAAATTAACGATTCGATTTCATAACAAGCGGCGAGTGGCACGTTCAACAGCCCAAGCAAACATAGTCTCAACTAGGGATGAAAACGGACGGTGGGCGGAAAAACTCTTCCATTTCCGTTTTTATATTTTTTAGCCAAAATGAGATCGGGTTCGAAAAAAAAACAGAGTTAAAAACGGATGGAGATATACGGAAATATGGAAACAGACAAATACGGATGGAGAGCCGGAAAAATAAGTTAGAATAACATGATGAAATATTATTGAGTATGCATGAACAAAGTCACAAAATAATATACACGGACGAAATTATCGGTCCAATATTCACTAGTATACCATGTGTTAACATGTTAACATGCATAATTTATGATTAGTAGGTTTATGAACATATCAATTTCTACACATATCTCACATAAATTGAAAATGAGATGAAAAACAGAATTAATACGGGTCAATTCTGGATAAAAACAGGATCTCACGAAAACGGACGGAAAAACCCCTTTCCCGTGGGATCCCACAAATACGAAAACAGATAGAAGATAGTAGAAAACGGAACGGGTTGGAACGGGATTTTTTCCGTCTGTTTTCAACCTTACGAGTGGGCAATATTTTACCCCCAAAACAACTAAAAGCAGGAGAAGAACTGCTTTCAGTTTTCTACCAGAGCAAAAACAGTTTTTGACCTAAAACACTTTGACTGGTCTTTCAGACTGTTTGCTTGTTGGTTTCAGCCAGCTCAAACCAGCCAGCCAACAGTGTTTTTCTCTAAAAAAAACCCAAGATCAGCCAACCCAAACCAGCACCAGCACCAACCAGCGAATAGACACAAATAACTTTACAAAAACAAAAGCACGTTCAACAGCCCAACCAAACATAGTCTCAACAACGCCATGCCGCCGTTGCCACCAGTCTAACGTGGGTCAGACCGACAGCAGGGCCAGATTGCCGGCTTTCCGCTTCGCCTCCCCGCGTGTGCCTCCCGCACGTCACGTACGCGGTGTGTGCACTGTGCCAGTATGCCAGACCCAGACTGCCAGGCGGCAGTCGCGGGCCCTGTCTGTGTACCGCGAACGCAAGGATTGGAGTTTGGCTGCTGATGCACGTACCACATCAGAATTTGCTAAAAAAAAAACTCGTACCACGTCAGAATAAGAGCAAGGCCAATAAGCTTGCTATTAGCCAAGTCCATGTAATCTTGAGACAACGTAATACAAACAGCTTGGCTCTACAAGAAATACTCATGTATTTAAGTCACTGAAGTACACCTGGATCTGGTGATCGATACTAAACACATCTCTGTAGCTACCTGTGTTGCTGGCACATTCACGTCTGTGGACATATTCACAAATAAATCAAACAAGGTATCAACTGAAGCAAATAAGCAATAATATTGTTCACTGGTAAAATATAATAGCTCTTACAACCAAGTTCATAGCATCAGATAGACTAAGGACACACACAAACTTAAAAAGCTTAAGGAATAAAACATGGTCTGCAGTGCAACTAAAACTTGATCCACAAAAGAAGGCTCCTACCTGTTAGATTGAGATCAACACAAAAGGATAATCTAGTCTAGTCAAAATGAACACATCATATAGCATCATGAATCACAGACCTTGAGATTCCGCCATCGGTGGAGTAGGGATGCAAGAATGAGGTCGGTGCGGTTGTTCGGAGGTGTAGCGTCGACCTTCAGGACGCCAGCGGCACTGGCCAATCACCTTGGCCGGTGCTAGAGTCGAGGAAGAAGGGCGGCGGCCTTCAGGTCGATCCAGCGGCCTCTTAGGATCGGGAAGAGAAATGTCAGGGTGGTCTGTTTCTCAGTTGTGCATTGGCCAAAGGAGAAGCCGGGCCACCCCTTTTAATATGGTGCTGCTCGACTCGGAGCTGCAACCATTAGTTGGTGTGGGCGCTACCGATCATCGCGCATGGGGTTTTCCCTGAGTCCCCGACTAACTCGGCCAGGGGAAATGGTCCTTGACCACGTACTCCTTCGTAACGGCATGAGCCAGAGATCACTTAATTCCAACATTCTCCCCTTTGATCGAATGTCATCATCATAAGTCCACAGTCAGTAGAATAATGTACCGAAATAATTGAATACAACAGTCAGGAAAAATGCCACTGCAACACAAGTATCAATAGTACACCAAACTAACTCGATAGGATGAAACTTAAACATAACGGGAGTTGGTTGTGTTATAGCCCTCATCCGGGATCATTAGAGGCTTTCCATTAAACCCATGCCGACAACATGTTCATTAAAATTTTTGGGTGGTAAGCCTTTTGTTGGGGGATCCACTAACATCATTGTCGTACTAATGTGCACCATATCGACAGTTTGATCCTGGGTTCTATCTTTCACAACAAAATACTTAATGTCAATGTGTTTGGCAGCACCACTTGACTTGTTGTTACTCGAAAGAAACACTATAGCCTTATTATCGCAGTGTATCATAATTGGTTTCGAAATTATGTTAACCACTTTAAGTCCGGGAATAAAATTCTTTAACCATATGGCTTGCCCAACAGCTTCATAGCATGCCAAAATTTCTGCATGCATCATAGATCCTGTTGCTATGGACTGCTTACAGCTTTTCCATGAAATAGCTCCTCCCGCTAGTGTGAAGACTGTCGGGGACCTAATACCAGGGTACCCCAGAAGGTGGAACCGATGACCACTGAACGTAAAAAACTTCTAGATGCATAAGGGCTCCATGTCATCCCTTGTTCGAGTGACAGGAGTTGGTTCCGCCTCGCCTGACGCCTTGGGGGGGGCTCGGTCTCGCCCGAGGCCGTGAGGATGAATTCCGTCTCGCTTGACGCCGAGGGGCGGGTCGCCTTACCCGACGCCTTTGAAGGATAACCTGCCTCGCCCCAAAAGCTCAAGGCTAATCTCCGTCTCGCTTGGCGCCTATAGGGCGGGCTCGGTCTCGCCCGAGGGCCGAGGATAAACTCCGCCTCGCCCGACGCGCCTTGAGGCGGGCTCGGTCTCGCCTTAGAGGGGTGAGGGACAATTCCGTCTCGCCCGACCCGGAGGGGCGGGGTCACCTCACCCGGCCCCGAGCGAGCCTCTGCATACGATCGATATCTATCCCTCATAATGATGGGTGCAGGGGACGAGACAAGGCGTTCGGGT